GAAGGTGCCACGCCCTTTTTTTCAGTAGCTCCGATTTTTCTCCAATAGTATACGATTGATTTTGTTTATCTCCATACCAAGTTCCTGAACTCTATCGTGAACACTTCCAGCGATATGCAGTATGAAAAATTCGGTTTGTATGGGAGGTGGCACGCCCCCTTTCCCATTAGCTCAAATATTTTCTCCAGTAGTATGCGATTGCTTTCGTTTATCTCCATACCAAGTTGCAGTACTCCAATGGTATGCGATTGAATTCGTTTATCCCCATACCAAGTTCCAGAACTCTACCATGACTACTTTCAGAAATATGCAGTATGAAATGTTCGGTTTGTACGGGAGGCGCCACGCCCCGTTTTCCCATAGCTACAATTTTCCTCCAAGATTATGCGATTTATTTCATATACCGCAACAGGGCCGTAGCGAGTATTTTCTTCGGGGGGTTTCTGGCAAATTTTTTTTTAGTTTCACTTTAATTTCAACATATTTTGATTAAAAGAAAAATACTGATAAAAATAAAACTTTTCATAAAAACAGGGTTGAAATCTTGAAATTCCTGCCCGTAGTTTGTTTGTAAGTCAAATATGAGTGGCATTGTGCTGCTATGATAGCACAACCGAATAATCATAGCCAACTTATGTACAGTAGTCAAAAAAATTATAGCCGCACCAAATTTTGACAAGTTTTAAAATATTATTTTTGTTGTTATTTAATTTCGGTTAGTTTTTTTATAGTTCGTTCTTTACCAAGATCCGTATAAATACAAGTTTAAAGGCAGTGTAACACGATTGGGTATTTGCTAAAATTTGGTGTAAATCGTATCCCAATTGTTTGAACACCCAAAATATTTTTCACTATCCCAATCACGAAAATTGATTTATTGAAATTTTTCAATAGAGCATCGCTGTATTGTACCAATCTTTTGAATGCAAAAAAAAAATTGTCCCACTTTTTTTTACCAATAGCCCAATATAAAAATTTATAAATCTGTACAAATGTACCCATCGAGTAACACTGCCTTAAAAATTGATGCAATTTAAAAAAAAACTACAAATTTTCGTTAAAATTTCGAGTTTTTTAATTAAATTCTGAGTATGCAGTTTGTAGCCCATTGAATTCTAGTAGAATAAAGTACACGTTTCAAATGGCTAAAAATGTCGATTGATTTTTTAGAATTTTTAAAAGTTCGAAATTTGTACGAAAGTTTGTTGAATTTTTTTTGAATATTGCACAAATGAGTAGTCCACTTGCAAACAGCGTTATGTGATTTTATAATAGAGAGCCATAATTTAAAAAAACGTCTACAACAATACAACTACAAGTAACATCCAAATTGTATATTTCTCTTTATTATCTGAAAATTTGGATAAACAAGAGCCTAATAACATTAAAAAACAATATCGCAGTGTAGTAGTTTTTGCAAATTTTATATATAAAAATTTAATATAGCAAGTTTCGAAACAGTATTTTTTACATAGCTATCTTTTTTTAGCTCTTCGCGTTCTCTCTTCCATGAAAATTGGTCTGCTTCTTTTTTACGACGCCTTCCACTAGGTACCGAAACTACCACGTTTTTTTTGCAGTTTTCTAAGTTCATCAGAAGATGGAGACTTTTGAAAGTGTATAAACGAGTATTATAGCGACTTTTGCAATAGTAGGTAACATTTGATGCTATTTTTTTCAGAAAATAGAAAGATTTTGCACTGTATTGTTAGTGGACATGAAACTACTTTAAATACTGGTACGTTACTCACCAAAAACTAAAAATCTAAAAAAATTTGCAATTGGACTGCTCAAATTTGGAAACATGGATTTTCACGGATTTTGTTAAATAACGAACTATATTTTTATTTAAAAATATAACAAAAGTTCAATAACAACAAATATAATACGTTAAAACTTGGCAAAAAGTGGTTCGGTTATAATTTTTTGACCACTGTATGTATTTTTTTATATCTTGAATTGGACCTTCACATTGTACATAAAGGAAGTACATAACAAAATAAAAAAATAAATGCCTTTTTTTGAAGCTCGTTTTGCCTTTTCCAAGTTTAAGTGCCTTAAAAATCTACATTTCTACATTTCGGGGGGGGGGGGGGGGGTTT